GGGGTTCCCCCTAAGCATAATCTCTCAGCAGGGGAGATTATGTTTAGGGCCAACCAACATGGGTTCATTACAGGCAGGCCAACCTGGTGGCCTTCTATGACCAGGTCACAAAATCCTTAGATGCAGGTGTCGCGGTGGACGTAGTATTTCTGGACTTCAGGAAGGCCTTTGACACTGTCTCTCACCCCATTCTCATTAAAAAAAACTAGGGGACTGTGGCATAGACACCTACACAGTCTGATGGGTCACTAGTTGGCTGGAGGGCCGCACCCAGAGAGTGGTGGTGGACTGGTCATTTTTGACCTGGAGGGATGTGGGCAGTGGGGTCCCGCAGGGCTTGGTCCTTGGGCCTGCATTGTTCAACATCTTCATCAGCGACTTGGACGAGGGGGTGAAAAGCACCTTGTTCAAATTCGCAGATGACACTAAGATGTGGGGAGAAGTGGGCATGCTAGAAGGGAGGGACAGGCTGCAATTGGATCTGGACAAGTTGTAGGGGTGGGAGGATGAGAGTAAGATGGGATTCAATACTGACAAGTGCAAGGTACTGCACCTGGGGAGGAAGAACCAGCAGCAGACCTACAGGCTGGGGAACTCCCTTCTAGTCAGCACAGAGACAGAAAAGGATCTTGGTGTCATTATTGATTCCAAGATGAACATGGGCTACCAACGTGGGGACGCAGTCAGGAAGGCTAACCGCACCTTGTCATGCATCCACAGATGCATCACGAGCAGGTCCAAGGAGGTGATCCTCCCCCTCTATGCAACACTGGTCAAGCCGCAGTTGGAGTACTGCGTCCAGTTCTGGGCGCCGCACTTCAGGAGGGATGAGGACAGCATGGAGATGGTCCAGAGGATGGCCACTCACATGATCAGGGGGCAGTAGGGCAGGCCCTACGAGGGGAGGCTACGGGACCTGAACCTGTTCAGCCTCCACAAGGGAAGGCTGAGAGGGGATCTGGTGGCTATCCACAAGCTGGCCAAGGGAGACCAGCAGGCAACGGGAGAGAGCCTGTTCCCCTGAGCACTACTGGGAGTAACAAGGAATAACGGCCATAAGTTGATGGAAAGTAGATTCAGGCTAGATATCAGGAGGCACTACTTCACTGTCAGGGAGGCTAGGATCTGGAACCAACTTCCAAGGGAAGTGGTGCTCTCTCCTACCCTGGGGGTCTTTAAAAGGAGGCTAGATAGACACCTTGCTGGGGTCATTTGACCCCAGCATTCTTTCCTGCCCAGGGCAGGGGGTCAGACTTGATGATCTGCTCAGGTCCCTTCCGACCCTACCTACTATGAAACTATATTCTGACTCTGACCCCTCTGCTCTAACCACTAGACTCCCTTCCAAGTACCCATGGTATGCGAGAAGAGTGAGGATCATGGATTCTGCTATATACTGCTGCTGGAATGATTCCTCAGAGCTGGATTTTTTTTACTTGGAGTTAAAGCAGATGGGATTATTTTTTATGCCTCTCAATTGGTCAGAGTCCTACAAGGTGAACTGGGAGATCAGAAGAAAAGGAAGAAAGAGCAGCTTGAGGAGGTGACCTAGTTTTGAAGGTGTTCAAGCTGCCCCTCGCTCTTGATCTGTGTACAGATTTTGAAACCACTAGGGGGTCTTCATGACTGGCCTCTATCACACAAAGCACAGCAGGTGTGTGAAACCAAGCAGCGGGTGTGCAAAATCAAGGTCCAGCCCAAGATGGGGAGAAACAAATATGTAAATCACACATCTCCAGGAACCAGAATGATAAAGCCCTTTAGAATTGTTGTACTCCTTCCCTCTGAACCAAATGTGTGTGTGTAGATGGGGAGTGGAGCAGTGGGGAGGTTCCTGGATAGACAGTGCAATGGATCAGTACAGCGAAGGGGCCCTTTCTCCCTCCCTTTCCTCACCTGATGACGTGGAAGGCAGTGGATATGATCAATTCATTGTGGAGGGCAATGCCCATGTAGCGGGGCTCATGGAAAGCAGAGGGCACCGTCCGGGTGGCATAGCACAGGAAACTCCCCCAGAGTAAGAAGAGCATTTCAGCTGGCAGAAAGAGAGAGAAAAATCAGCAATATCAGGTGCAGCACCTTTCTCTCTAGCATGTTTACATTTTATAGCAGGATGCTGTGGAATCCAGGTGGCACCTGGTTGATGAGAAATGGTTTAATTAAGATTAGCTAATCCCATTTCTTTGGCTACCAAGGTGGCATGAGCCTTCTGTTCACAGGTTGGCTTCCTTTCTTGCCCACCCTCCAAGCACTGGTCTCCCTCAGCTTTGGATGGAGAATAAAACACAAGAGAATGCACACTTGTGTTTGGGGCTACAGCCAAAATGGCCTGTGTGCTGCAAGTCCAGGATGGCTGCCAACTAGAAGAGATCTTTTTTAGGACCAAGGAAGAGGGGGCTACCGCTGTTCTGGAGTCAGCATTACAAGGCAGGCACTGCTCCAGAGCCATCCCATGTTGGTGGATTCAGGGCCAAGAAGGTGGAAAAGAGGCAGTGCTAAGGGCTTGCACATGGGTCTCCTGTCTGCCATTCTGCTTGTTTGTCTGTCCATCTGCATCTCTCTAGAGCAGGGGTGTCAGCCAGCATACAAAGGGAATCTGAGGGTCATTCTAGTGCTAAGGTGCAGCCTTCATTGTGGTTCCAGGGTGGCTCTGACCCCACCACAGGCCAGATTCTGACATTTACCAGGACTATGTGGTACCTCAAAGCTGGAATAGTCTCACTGGTATCAGTGGGAGCCATTCAGGGACTATAATCAGCTCTGGTGTGAGTAAGGGGGTGGCAATCTGGCCCTGTGTGGTCTAGGCTGTGGCTATCCTCTCCTGGCTGAATACCCCTCTGCTCCAGAGCTGGTTCTAGCAAAGCTGAGAGGAAGGAGCACACTGAGCCTCCTAAGCTCCCTGCTTGGTGGGTGCTTGGGGCTCTTTGACCTTGTGGGATCCAGGACAGCCATCCATGGGCAAACTAAAAATGTCCCCACGCCTCCTTCTCTGTGACATCGGGAGCCCTGAGAACAGAGTCTCACCCACAACCATCATGTAGTCCCACCGGTCATGGTCGCAGATATAGAACTGAAGGCCCCGGGGAGTCTGGGAGCGGATCACCAGCGGGATGTTCTTATCAATGTTCTCCAGCATCCCCACTGTCCAGGCTGCCAGGAACCAGAGCACCAAGAGCAGGATCAGCCCCAGCATCTTCATTACCCGCCCGCTGGTCATATAGGGGACTCGCTGGGCCGTACGGGAGAGGAACACCTTCAGGACCCTGCACAGGAGAGGGAGGAAGCAACACTTGCATCCAGTGGCTCTATGACCAGCTGATGACTTAACTAAGGCTTAATGTGGTTCCCAGGCTTTATGCTGGTGCTTGTATAGGAGTGGATTTCACCCTGAGCTTTGCTGTATTGTGCTTGTACAGTTACTCCACTAAAGAAAAACCCATCTAAAGGAAGGTTATTAGAATATGAAATGCATCAGGACTAAGGCCATGCAGGTGATGTTAATTTAACTTCAAACTCCCTACCAGCAATGAGTTCAGTAGCTAAAAAAAAAAAGGCCCTCTACTGCTTGGAGTAAGATCAGTCACAGTATGTTTCCCTTGGACTTGAACACAAGGAATATGCAGCCTCATGAGCTTCTGTTGAGAGGGGATCAATTGAGAAGGACTGTACCATCCATAGCTGGAAGCTGGATCCTGTGGGAAGTTACTATGAGGCTGACTCAGAGTGGGACAGCTGCTGCCTCAGGAGTGTGAAGGTTTTGCCTCCTGTGTTTGTACATTCAGGGCAAAATCCATCCTGGGGGTAACTCCACTGGCAAAGAGGCAGGGGCCAACTAGCCCCTCATGCCATTACCTGTATAGCTTGAGGGTGATGGTCCCATAGACAATTGCAAATCCAAGCATGCGCACCCAGCGCAGGACGATACAGCGAAAAATACTTGGCTTGAAGTACAGGATAAACACCTGAGCATAAAGATGGGAGAGAGAATGAGAGAAGTAGCTCCACACAGCTCAGATCTCTGTCCTGGGAAGCTGCTGTGTCACTTGAAGTTTCCACTTTTTACACCTGCCCCTGGGTCTTGTTTACACTTAAGCCACCCCTAGGCCATGTGGGCAGGATGCTGGAACTTTCAAGGGGGTGTGGATGACTTTGTAGGCCATGGTAAAGTCCCAGAGCACCAGAACTGGATAAAAAAAGAACATGGGGCTAGTCTGCACTGGCACAAAATTGCACTGTTAGGTCCCCACCTTTTTTCTTGATGTCAATAAAGCTTGAGTGAAAATGAGGCTGCAGCCCTAGCAGAATATATATATACTAGCAAAAGCAGGCAATGGATAAGGATCATAAATGCTCTGGCTTCCTCTGGGAATACCATTATTCCTTGACCAGGGTTTCCTGCACCTGCCCCTGAGTTAGATGCTCCTGGCTAGGGTTAGAGGTAGGGAACTAGATAGATGGTGATTCCTGAGAACCTGGCCACTCCTCCTTCTGCTTGTATCTGTGCGCTGGCATTGCCTTGCTCAGGCAGACTCAGATGATGCCCACAGGAAAACAACTCGCTTTTACCAAGAGGGAAAGGGGCCTGCATTTTTGTGTCTCCTGGTGCTGTATCCTGTGTAGCTGCCAGCACATGCAGACAGGGAGATTGAGGCACAGATTGATGACAGCCTCCCCTCACACAATGATTCACTGTGGAAGCCAAACTGACGTACCAGAGTGTCTGACTCATGATCCCCTGCCTGAGCAACTAGGACAATACTGCCTCAGATGGAATATGACCTGGCTAGCAGGATATGCTAGAAGGGACCAGATCTGGATATCACACTGATGTGCAGCCTAGAAGCACCTAAAATGAGAACAGAATAATGGAGCTTGGGTGATAAATTTACCAGCTCTAGTTGAGGTCCCCTAAGCCCCTTATCTGTGGCTGGATTTATGTTTTTGGGGGTCTCACACAAAGGTCTGGCCCTGCACAGTAATCTACCAGACAACCAGGCTAAAATGTGCAATGAGGACCCCTAACCAGCTCAGGGCTTTATGCAGTTGTACAGTTTGTACTGCCTTGCTGCCACCCCTGACCCTTTTGGGAACAGGAAGCAGGCTGCATCAGAAACCAGCTAAGAGGCCTGAGGATCAGTTTCTTTTCAAAAGGTTTGTTCACTGCTCCCTGCTGTCTCTATGGCAGATGCTGCAAATCTTTCAGGAGGGGGAAGATTTAGAGGAGGATTAATTCCACTGGTCATCAGGAAAAAAAGGGTTTTCAGTCCTCAAGAAGGTTTCTGCTGTGGCTGATGAAGGCCAGACTGGTGAAATTAGCAGTTGGATACCCAGGGCAAGGTCAAATTTTGTGCTGCTCTTGGTGCAGAGGAGAAATCCATATTCCTACCTAGGAAGCAAAAGTGAAGGAAGCAGTCCAGCAAGCACTGCTTCCAGTGCCTGTTATGCACAGCACACAGCCTTCTCTCTGAGGTGCCCCTGATTTGCATTCTAGGCGAGTTAATCCTTGGCTTTCTAGGGTTGTAGGAGCACCTCTTGCCTTCTCGTGCAATGGCAGCATGACGCATCCCAGGAGCTGAGGAGCCTTTGATGTCAGCTGTCTATGTACAAAATGGCCCCAGTGGAATTGGAGTTGACCTGGATCTTTACTTGGCCTTTCGTAGCTACTGCTGCATCTACAGAAGTCTTTGAGTGGAACGTGGGGTTTTCTCTGACAACAGACTGAACCTTCCCGCTCTGCACAAATGGGTTCCCGTGAGACAGGAGGAGTGGATCTCATCCCCTGTGGGGATGAAAATAGAGGTCTTTGTCCTTCCTCTGGTGAAACAAAGGGCTCTTATCTGTCCAGGTCAGGGGTTTTTAACCTCTGATCAATCAAAAGTATGTGAAACTTACAATTCAAAGGGGTCTGCACCTCCATTTGGAATTGTTGAGGGGTCCACAAATGAAAAAAGGTTGAAATCCACCTGTCTAGGTGTTTGCACACACTGTCTTCATCATGGTACTACCTGAGCGCTCTTACAAGGCAGCAGAGGCACTGACTGTAGAAGCTAGAAAGGCACAAGAAATTGGGACACTGGTGCAGCTTCTGAAGCCACAGCTTGGTGATGAGCCTGCAGCAGGGCACCAGCAGGCAGACTTAGAGCATGGCCTGGGACCTGTTTTGGTAAAGGAGGGGTTTGCCTCCTGGGGTAAAAGCTATCCATGATGGATTTGACCCCGTGTGTGTGACAGATGGAACTGCTGGGGGTCTTGGGTAATATGGCACAGGGAGGGCACAGGAAGGTCTGAAAATGGGAGAAGATGAACCTACTCCCATCCAGCCCAGCCTCCTCCTTGGAGTTGGGATTACCTAGGGGAACAAAGGGAGAGAGCATTGGCCTCCAGATACAAGTCAGATACTCACAGGGAAGTAGAGAAGCAGAGATCCAAAGAGGATAGTCTCTAGCAGGATAACTCCCGATGCACGGATCCTCTAGGGAGAGAAAGAGAGAGAGAGGCGCACACACTCACGTAGCAGAGGACCCATGTGGTGGGGAAATGAATCATTCAAGGGCATTGTGCCAAGGCAGAGGACAGAACAGAATGCAAACAATATATTCTTGAATGAGCCTGTGCTGTGAGGAGCGAGATGTTCCCAGCATCCCCCACAGGTCACCTTCTAGTGGTAGGAACATGTCTCAACAAATCAGGCTAATCTCTATGCTAGAGCTAGATTCTTGGAGTAATCCCTGGGGAAAATGAAGCGAGTTGGAAGGGATTGGGAGTGGAATTAGCCTAGTGGGATGGGTGAGACAGCCCACCAGCAGGAGGCACCCTCTCCTATGGGAGCTAAAAGTAGGCGTGTGTGGAAACCTTTCTTCTTCTAGGGGAGATCCGACTCTAAAGGAAAATGGAGGTAAGTGTCCGAAGACCAAACCGGCAACAGTAATAACAAATGAGAATGCACAGCACTTCTTAAGCATTCATGAGGAATCACAAGCTGACCATAGGCCCCTCTCACCATGAGTGGAGTAGGTCAATATTTTTATCAGCCCCATTATAGAGATATGAAAACTGAGGCTTGGGGAGGAGACGTGATTGATCCAAATTCTGGGAATGGAACTGAGGTCATGTGACTTCCCTTCCTGTGCTTTAACAGCCATCTGACTACAATGCTTGGCTGTCCTCACCTTAAAGGGACTTTGGGTTAAATGCATCCCTGTACAGGGGGTCAACAAGATGCCTTCTGCAGAGCTAGTTTGGGACCCGAGGGGTGGGAAAGTTTGGGGTCATTGTGCCTGCATAGGGGTAAATGCCCCCTTTTCTATACAGCCAGCTTCCATGCCCCCAGCCCTGGGCCTGGTGAGTGAATTATGACAGACATGTTATGGAGAATAAGGAGCAACATGATGAACAGGAGCCTTTGACATGTGCTGTCTTGGTTTTGGGGACCCAGGCTGAGATACCTGTGGTCTGAATTGGTAAGGGGTGTTGAATGTGGGCTCTGAAAATCATTTCCAAGAGGGCTCACATCAGGTACCCAATGTGATGTGGCATCAGAACACAGGTGAGAACATGGCTGTACCTGCCCCCATGCCTGTGCTCAGGCCACTACATGAGGCTTCTCTCTTGTAAGGTATTGAGAAAAACTCAGGCCATATGCCCTGTGGGTCCCACAGGAGGCACCGCAGAGAGGTGACGTGCCCAAGGCTGGGTATGTTTGAGTCCCTGATAGCAGAGCATAGGGGCACCACAGTGAAACCCAGTTCCTCAGTGAGAGCTTGTTGCCTTGCCTTGCTCTTTCTAAAGTGGTAGGAGATCAGCATACTGAGAAAGACAGCCAGCATGCAGAAGGCTTGGCAAGAGAGGACGGCAGCCCGCAGGGACCAATCCTCCTGGATCAAACACGGGGTGTCGTCCACACACGTCACGCATCCCTCCTGGCAGGGGCGGCACTCCAGCAAGTTCCTGGGACTCACTTCTCCATATTGAGATGAGCTTTTCTCTATCCCTGGACAGAAAGGGAATGCGTGAGAGGCTTACAATAGCTCTGCATGGCTTTTATCTCTTGCCATCAATTTCACTCAGACAACAGACCTCGGGGCTGATGTTCTTGCACCATCCAGGACCAAACAGGGGTAAAATCCCGCTTTTCAGAGCTGGGGGCATTTCCCACTTCCTTTGCAATCCTTTTGCGCTGGTGCATGGTGTTTAAGGTAAAAGAAGGTGATTTGGCTTTTCTTCTGTCCGTGGCCTCTCAAGGATGCAGTGTGCATGCACGGGTCCTTCCACATGTGATGTGAAGTTGGCTTAATGAGTTTGGTTTAACTTGAACCACTAATTCCCACCTCTGTGTGTGCCTGCAGCTCCCCCTCCCTTGCTGGAGTGCAGGGAGGGGCTCTGATTCTGGGCTAATGCAGGAGGTCTGAGAAGCACGTTTCCCCAGATAGCATTTGGGTGGAAGATTGACCCAGGGTTAAGGCTAAATGAGGAGGTAGATCAGACAGAACCCTAATATCCCTTCCCCTGCATGTCATTCCAGCACGTGGAATTGCAGCTGTGAGAGGGCAATACATTGGGCATGTCAGGTGCTTTGAATGTCTTGTGATTGCTAGGTATGATGCTCTGGATTTGCCGCACAAGGCAGCTGGGAAGGAAGGCTGGTACTGTGGCTAATAAGGCACTAACCAGGTGCTGGGAGGCATGGGTTTCAAAGTCTGATGCAATACTGATGCAAATCCTCTAGGGGATGAAAATGCCTAATTCCCATGCTCTTCAATGGGCACCTCCGTAACCTGACAAAAAATCTGGCCCTTCCCCGGCTTTGTGCCTCAACTCCCTACTAGTAAAATGGGATAACAGCACTTCTTCCCTGCCTCACCAAGGTATGCGTGTGTTGGGAGAGGGCTCAGATATTGGTGTAAGGTGGAGTGGGAAGAGCTGAATATCTAGTTTTGCCACTAAATTGTAGGTGTGACTCGAAAGACAGCCAAAGCCCAGTTGACAGGACAAGACATTGCCCCTGCAGAAGGCTGGGGAGAGGGGCTACCTACCAGGCTGGGCAGTGATGGGAGACCTGCTTGCACCGTAGAACCCTGGCTTGCACAGGCAGAGGTACCTTCCAAGAACAAAGCCACGGCTTTCCTGGGGGACGCACTAAACAGAGCACATGATAGCATGTAAGTTTCATGCATCGCCTGCCCTGCACAGCCCCATGCACCTAAAGGCTGAAGCTCTGGCCGTCTCTAACACCTGCTGGGTGTTCCCACCTCCTAGGCACCCTCATGTACTGCCCCACCCTGCTCAGTTCAGCCCCAGTCTCCCTGCCAGTTTATTACTGGAAAGCAGTGGTTAAACATTTAAGAATTAAAAGCAAAAGCCCGATGCTCAAATCCCCTCCTAAAACCTAAATGGACACCTAATGCTGCAAAGCACACTAATCCCCGAGAGGCAAATCCCACTGAGCGATTGCTAGCATGACAGCAAATGCAGGGTGCCTGCAGCCTGCTGAGAGCTGCCCTGCTAATGCCGGGGGTTGGAGACCCCTTAAACCCAAGCCAACAAAGGAGAAGTAGGACAGTCTGTCTGCAAGGGGAGAGCAGGGAGTGGTGCAGGAGCTGAGGAAAGGGCTAGGTGGGTAGTGGATAGCCTACTGCTGCTTTCACAAACCTCCAGGCAGAATAGCTGTGGGTGGCAGGTCTCTCTGGTCATGGGCACTCATACAAGGAAGAGGAACTGACCTTATGAATTCACCCTACAGGGGTTGTGCTTCAGAGCTCCATTGACCTTTTGGCTAGCGGCAAGTGAAACTAAGTGGCATGTGAACTCCAAGGCCTCTAGGCTTGGGGTTTGCATGTAGGATGCCTGCCATGGATTTGGGAGTATCTGAAACCCCAGGCTGAAGAGTCTGGGAGGTAAGATGCTTGCTGGTGGTACTGCCACACAGACCACGACACAAGTTGGAACTAATTTGGCCCGAGATATCAAATTTAAAAAAAAAGAAAGAAAGAAGAAGGGAGGTGGTAGTGGAGGCAGAGGTTGGCAGGGGACAAGTGGGGTGCAGTTTGTGATGAGAATGGAGACTAGAAGAGACCCTGAGTTAGACATCAAGTATAAATCTCATCTCTAACATGCTTCCTTGCTGCTCAGCTGTAGTCTGTTGATCCAGTGTAGTTGGCTCTGGCATGGGGCAGAGGACAGGCTCCCCCGCTACCCCCCCTTCATCTATTCTCTTTCCTGGCTTCTTTCCTTCCCTGCAGATCAAACACCTGGTCCCCACACACTTTGGCAGACAGTTGCATTGCTGGCTCAGACAGCCTGCGGATACTGCTTTTTCCACACAGCAACTCTGCACTGCAAGGCTGAAGTTGATCTGCCTTCCTACTGTGATGGCCATGTGTCTTGTGGCTTGACCTGGCATGAGGCAGAAAGGGAATTAGGTCTGCTTAGTAATATCCGGTTTCTTTTGCCATCCAGGCAGGGTCGCCTGTGCTATAAATGGACCTGGCCATTCAAATGTTCATTGAAGCATCATCAAAATACCATTTTGCTGAAACTGAAGTTCCCTGCCAGATCATGTCCCTTTGGGTGAAATTTTCCATTGTGGGGGGCAGAGGAGGGAGGAGGATGTTTGCAGTTATTTTGGCAGTGTCTTTTCTTTCAGGGAATCTTGACATTTCCCAATTTGCATCTGCTCTAGAACTGGGAAATGTTAAGCTTTCCTATGTGAGAAATTCCAAGTTTCAACCCTAGCTCAAGCAGTAAACTTACACCTCTTGAGGAAGAGACTGTAGCAGTAGTTCCACAGCCCAGTGCAAAGCCATCATGCAGTTGCTTTTGATCACTGGTCTGGAAACTGGAAGCAAAGGTCCCGGAACTCTCTGCTTTCCATCCTAGGGCTCTTCCTAGCCATATCAAGGGCCCCATCTGTGATTTCTCCCTCTTGAGATATATCCAATAGGGTCTTTGTTACCCTGTAAACCCTTTTGGGCAAGGTGGCACCTTCTAACTAGTTCAGAAAAACAAGACCTTTCATTGGTGACACCCTACTTTGTCACATGCATCGTCATAGCATCTGACAAAGTAGGCTATGAAAGCTTAAGTCTGTCTGAGTGTGTTAGTCTATAAGGTGCCACCCTTCCCTGCATTCAGCCTAACTTCAGGGCTAACTCCCTGTCTGTGTATCCCCTTCTGTTCAGGTCAGTGTCTCAGTATGTGTTGTCTCTCTCTCTTCAGGGAGAGTGACTGGTTCTCTGGGTCTGCGTTTACAGAAGTAGCATTTTAACTTGTGGAACTACTTTAAAAGCAGACAGGAAACTGGGAATCCAGAACAAGCCCTCTATGTGAAAGCAGCTATAAGTGCCTCTGGGCAACTGGGTCCCAATCTCAAACCCCTGAGCCCACCAGAAGAGATGCAAAAGGGGGTGTGAGAGAAGTACAGACCAGATGGGGGCACTCGACCGGAAACCAAGATGCCTGGGTTCACACAGATTCACAGAAATTTAGGGCTGGAAAGGACCCCGTGAGATCATCTCTTCCCTCAAATCTGTCACTGTTTTGCTATGTGACCTTGGGCGAGTTGCTTTCTCTTTGTACTGCACACCCCACACTAGTCTATTCAGTCTGGAAGCAATTCAAGGCAGAGACTGTCTCTGTACACTTGGACCCCTGGTCTCATTTGGGCCTATGGATGCTACTCACCCACATATGGTAATAGCAAGCTGGGGACTATCAGCTTTGTCCTGTAGCTTCACACACTGATCATGGAGGACCATGGCCACACAGGTAACTGGGATGGAGCTGTGCCATGAGTGGGAGGAGCCAAGTAACCACAAAAAAGAGTTGGCAGAGATTGAAGCCATGGATAGGAGAGAGTGGATATGCTGGCAATGGAGCAACCATAGCTCATGAAATACTCCCGGGTTGGCAGGAGCACACAAGCAGGGCACCAGCCCCTGGTGCTGCTTCAGAGAGGGCACCAGAATGGCAGCGGTATGTGGGGTTGTCTTTGAGTCTTGGGTCAGGTATGGTTCTCCAGTGCTGGTACGCCCAACTACCCTCCCTGGCATTTCTGTCTGGGGCACAAACATTTCTAGTGCCTCTGCACCTTGTTCCAGTTTTCTAGCTGAAAACTGACAAGGCAGGAAGGCCTTAGGGGCTATGGGGCTGGGATTCAGGAGACCTGGGGACATCTTTGCTTTGCCATGGGTCAGTCACTGGGGGTAGGTCTCCACTATCTCCTCACTGCTCCCAAGACCATGACTGAGAAGCAAGCTGTCTGCCTTATCACTCCAGCCATTCTAAAAAAATGTCTGTTCTCAAAAAAACATCTTGACAGTTGCTGTTTGGAGGAAGCCCAAGGACACTTTCAGCATCTCACTTTTGAGCGTGTTCCTGGGAGTAGCACTGGTCACTCCCATCTTAAGTTCTACTTATCTTAAGTTCTGAGAACAGGGTAACACTGAGCTCTGCTAGCTACCCCCAACATCTATGCAGGGTCTTGGGAGGTTATGCTGAACACTGTTTTGCTGTGGACTACCTTGTTTTACCATGTTGTTCTGTTCTGATTATAAGTTGACCCCGCATATAAGTTTACCCACATTTCCAGGTCCCTTTTTAAGAAAAAACAGCATTGTCCCTGAATATAAGGCAATAACCACAGATCAATACATTGAACTGCTGCTGTCCTTACAAAACTCCCATGGGAGAATTTTAGCTGCCATACATTTTAGCTGGTAGAGAGAAGAACATCTGGCTCCCACAGGGAAACAAATAACCAAGGAACAGACCCAAAGGGTTAAATGCACTAAAGTTGCTAAAATAAAAGCACCACTGAAAATATTTCTGATTGGGCTTTTTTCACTGCATGCACAGAAATACTGCAAGTACAAAAGCTGAGACTCTCAAGGGTCCAATTATAGTCTGAGTCCACAAAGTCAAGGGAGATCTTTATAGTTTATTCTGAGGAAAAAAAAAAGGTGGGCTTATAATCAGAACAGTATGGTAGTTAGCTTAATGGTCTAACCACATACCAACAGGGCTTTCAATAGAGGTGATATATTTTATTAGACCAACA